CTTTAAGTTCTTCCTACGCCCCACCCTCTAGATACTATGGGCTGGACAGACCCACGTGCTGGTCCAGCACTGCGCCATATCCCCAGCCCTGAGTTTTAAAACAAATTATACAGTACCTTACTAAGCAGTTCATCGATGAGCATCCTTGGAAATGGTTTTTGTCACAGCCTGTTTAAGGCTATTAAAACTGCTTGTGAGTGATGTTGGGGTCTCCTGAGACATTTGCGATGATCTGACTATGTATCAGAATTAGAACAGACTTGTGTTTATAAATGAAAAGATTGTGGGTAGGACTAGAGAAATTAAGGGATTTTAGTCTAAGGTCATCTTGGCAATTATCCCTAGATTATAGCTGGTTGTTCCTTCCACACTGCCTCCACCACACTGGCCTCAAAAATCTTTAGGAAAGGGTGTGCTGGGAAGGTGGCTCTGTGCATCCAAGGCCCAGCTGTGCAAACCCGACTGCCTGATTTCGTTCATTGAACTCAAAAAAAAAAAAAAAGCCTAAACTGGGTGTTGTGGCACGTGTCTGTAATCCCAGCCCTCCTAGGGAGAGGAGAGAGGCAGAGGAGAATCATCTAGAAGTAGAAGCTGATAGCCAGCTAGCCTGGAGCATGCAGCGCTGCCGCAGAACTAAGGGAGACTCTGGCCCAACCAAGTCCGCGGCAAGAGCGGATTCTAGAGCTATCTCCTCACTTTCACACAGGTGCCACGGCGTGTGCCCCTCACATAAATAAGCAACAAGTCTTTAGAAAAGGAAGGCTGAGAGATTTGTGAAGACATTCCTCAGCTGATGAAATAGCTAGGAAAGAAGTGGGCATTACTGAGTCATAGGATTTTTCATGGGTGCAAAGGCAAGAGAGAAATTTCATAGATGTTTATACAACTTTAAAATTTCTTCTCCCTTCACCGTGTTACCTGACTTTGGGGAACGTGGTGTCTCACTACAAATACCCTACCACTTAGGACTCACAGGACATTTTGTTTTACATTTGTTCAGTCTGTAAAATCCAATAGTCACACAATCCCTAAGTGACGTTTGGCTGTGGCCAGAGCCTGTGCGCACTGTATTCTCAAGGCCAGCCCACAGACTGGCAGGGTTTCTCCAGGCTGCTGCCAGCGTTCTCCCAGCATGCTTTAGTCCTTGGGTGCTGCTGTGACTCTTTTTGTCATTGTTTACTGGTTACTCGGCTTATCATTGTTCATTTTTCCCTGCCTGGAGATGGACATTTGCTGGTATCCAGACGTTCCAGATTGACTTCAGTAAGCTTGGGATAGTTGCTCCACTTCCACACAATAGTTTATGGATTTGATAAATGTATAGGCATGAATCCACCGTGGTAACATACTGAGTCGTTTCACCAACTTAAAATTTTCACTGTTTTGTGAACCATTAAGAAACAGTAGAAATGTTCAGTATAGCATAACCTAACTTAAAATTGCATTCTCTTTGAAAAATTACGTAAGTAGCAAGCTACTTTCTAAATTAGTCTGTCGGGACCCAGTGACAGGGATCACACAATTAAGCTCTTGATATTTCTCCCATTCAAGTACTAACCTGGGCTAACTCTGCTAAGCTGCTGAGACCTACTAGATTGTGTGTTTGGGGTAGTATGGCTGTAGACAAATGCTTACTGTTGCTAATGGGCCTGAGCTACACAAATCTTTTGGATTAGCTAACAGGTGGTGGCATTTTGGGGTGTAGAAGGGTAAGCTAGCTTCTTATGATCTTCATATCAAGTTAGAAGAAATCCAAGCCCAAATCAAATTCTGTCATATTGGACACGTTTAAGCAGCTTCATCAAAGTTTTTGCGAACTGTCCATAAGCTCGCTGAGTTCCACTTATGGGCTGAGACATCCACACTTTCTTATCAAAGTTCCACTTGATCAGAGACAAGACAATATTGTTATAACCTAATCGGTAACAAATCAAAACCTCTCAGACAATAACATCAACCAAACCCTCCAGGACAGTAACTGTAGGAAGACTAGGAGCAGACTTCAGCACCATTCCTATGGGGATAGACCATGGCCCTAACAGGACTCTTTTTCATAAAGGATAAGGGACTAAATTCTCTGAATTTATTTAACTTACAACCCTGAATTTCTTTAGTTTACCAAGGGAATCTACAGCTATCTTATATTGAACAATAAGCTACTAATTTCACAAGGAAAACATATTCAAAGATCAAAATTCCAATCCATGATAAATCTGTATCTCTAACATTGCTAATTAGAGCACTGTCTATTCCCCTAAAGGGAAATCTGTTACAGTATCAATGTATGTGCTTAGGTGCACATAACTTGATGCTTAAGTCATGCTGGGAAGTGAGGACCAAGTTTAGTGGTTCGCCTAAGACATGTTATTTCAGGTGACAAGGAACATGCAGTGTAAAGGTGGGAAGAGGCGAGTCTATATATTCTTTAAAGAATTGTAAATGAGTGTAGGTGCACATGAAGGTCTGAGGACTTTTCAGGAGTTTTGGTCTATTCTTCTATCCTCTTCTGAAGCAGGTCTTCCTTTTGCTGTGCGATGTACTCCAGACAAACTGGCCCATAACCTTCTGCTGACTCTGTTCACCTCCCATCCTGCCCCAGTACTGGGATTACATGTACATGCCACTGCTTCCAGCTTTTCCTTTAAGTCCTAGAGGACTGAACTCAAGTCCCCAGACTTGCTTGGATAACACTGACCCACTGAGCCATCTCTCCGGCTCTCTATATCATTCTGAAAGAGTCCTACTCCAACTGCAGAGAATGATACATCCTACTGCTTCAAGCAATCACAACTATTTTTGTAGGAATAGTTCATATCAGAAATTTTATAACTTGTAAAAGTATAATCTAATAAAGTATTTAATCTCTTTATCATCTTGAATGATTAAATTCTAAGTAGAAACATAAAATAGGGAATAAACAAGTCGAAAAAGAAAAAAGGGGGGGCTATCTTCCAATAGTGATAAGCAAAATTTTACCAAAAATAAAATGATATAAACTTCAAAAAGACAAAACCAAATCTTGCAAAACCCAGCTTGTGTTCATTCATTGGCTGTATGGGAAATGAACTTTAGCAGCGCCCAAGTGCTTCTTCTTCGGTGTCTGGATAGGAGCAGGGTGTGACTTGCCCGGCTGAAAAATGTACTGAGCCATGTGGCTAACATAGATAAAAAAAAAAAAATGGGTTAATGTAAGTTATAAGAGCTAATATGAAGCCTGAGCTAACGGGCCAATCAGTTTATAACTAATGTAGACCTCTGTGTGATTTTCTTTGGGACATACGGGCTATGAGAACTGGGCAGGACAGAAACCCCAACAAGCAGGTCCGCATGTTTCAGTAACCCAGACACAGAAAGACAATTATCACATGTACTCACTCATAGATGGTTTTTAAACATAAAGCAAAGAAAGCCAGCCTACAAACCCCAATCCCAGAGAACTTAGACAACAATGCGGAGACTAAGAAAGACATACATAGATCTAATCTACATGGGAAGTAGAAAAAGACAAGATCTCCTGAGTAAATTGGGAGCATGGGGACCTTTGGGGAGGGGTTGAAGGGGGAAGAGAGAGGCAGGGAGGGGAGCAGAGAAAAATGTAGAGCTCAATATCAATAAAAAAAAATCCCAAAATCATATGTACTCCATTTTTAATGTATAGTGTGCGCTGGGAGAGAGGGGTTAGTAAAAAGCAATTAAAAAATTATAATTGTCTTACTTTAAATATAAAGGAAAAGTGTGCTCCCTCAAGTGCCAATGGCTGCCTTTCATAATTGCAGTTTATGGTTGCTCTTGTCCTAGTGTTCACGGAAACAGAAAGTATTCTGACACTTAGGTAATTGTTCCATTTCCCTCTTAAAACACACACTAAAGTTCACAAATATCTACTGCTTGGTAGCTGCTGGACACCCTGAGATTGTCTGGGGTACTTACAAGTCATCACTACTAACCTCGGGCCTTAGCCACCTGATTCATTTCTCCCCAAGCCAGCTCTCTGCAGGGTTCTGTGTGCTGTTTTAGGGTGGGGCATTCCAAAAGCACCCTCACATTTTGGTAGACAGCACCGAATCATTTTCAATCATCAGTTGTCTTGGGTATTTTTATTTGGGGACAGGAGTCAAACTGACTAGAAAAACAGACAACTGCCAGCAATGTTAAATGAATATTGCAATGGAATGACAGTATTTTCCCATGACAAAATATCATACCCCAAAACTATTAGTACCGGTTTATACTAAGTTGCTAGTACCTAGCACAGTAAAGAGTCAGAAACTTCATTTTAGTTGTGTATTTTCTCCTACTTAGAGGACTTATCCTACAATTTAATATTATGTTTTCTTAAAGACAAAAGACTCTATATGCCTCAAAAAACATTTTAGTAAAACTTACTCAGAAAAATACAAAAATAATTAATGGCTGGTTTCAATTTGGTCAAGAAGCTTCTGTAGACAAATGGAAGGTATCTGGTGCTAACTGTATCACACAGCTCCGAGAACAGGAACACCTGTAACCCTGAAGGCTATCTGTATATGGTGTTCGGGGAAAAATACAGAGCAGGGCATGGTAACACACACATTTAATCCCAGTACTCAGGAGTAGGAGGCAGGCAGATCTCTGTGTACAAGGACAAAGTCTAGCTACAAAGGTTAGCCTACTCTACAAAGACAGCCAGGGTGGTTACACAGAGAAACCCATGTGTGTGTGTGTGTGTGTGTGTGTGTGTGTGTGTGTGTGTGTTGTATAAGTCCTAAAGATAGCCGTGGAGAGGGGAATGCAGGGGTTAATAGCATTTGTTGCTCTTGTAGAGAACTGGGGTTTGGTGCTCAGAACTCACATGGTGGCTCATAGCCATTTTTTACTCCAATTCTAAGACATTCAGTGCCTTCTTCTGAATTATGTAGGCACCAGCCACACATGCAATGCATATACATACAAAGTAAAAAACACACATATACATAAAATAAAGAAAAAAGACACAGGGGCAATACAATAAGCCAGATTGCTTTATGGCTATATGAAAATATTTATTCACAAAATAAAAGTATTTACAAATTTACAAAATGGAACCTTGATCTTGTTTTCTCCATGAGTCTCTGCAGACAATCCACTATGAAATCATGAAGATTATACAGCCAGAGTGACAAGACAACTATAAATACATACAAATATTCCCAATGAATTATTCAAGACTCAGGAACGTCTTCATCAGGGCAGCAGTAATATTCCACAAAACATATCTGCCCATCTTCATTTCTAATCATGTACTGTAGTGAGAGGAATCCTCGATTATCTGTTCGGATAGATACTTTACAGGATAGGGCTAATGCCTTTGTAGAGGGTTTCAGTAAAGCAAGTTTGTATCTGCAGGAGAGCAAAGGAAAAGCTGTTATTTGGATCCACTAAATGCAATGCACATGACACCAAGTACAGTTAGCTAGGAACTATTTAGCAGCAGATACTTGCCAATGTGTTGGTCTTTTTTCTTACTTTATCTACCCGTGATTACAACCCAACATCTCCAGGAAATTCAGAGCCCATCTATTTTTTTTTAAATGTGATACATTTTCTAACATTAAAAATTACCTTTTTTGGTTTTATATGGAAATTTTGTACTTAACTTCATCTTTATCAACAATGTAGCCTTTATATTAAGAACTGACCTGTTGCCAGGCCATGGTGGAACACACCTTTAATCCCAGCATTTGGATCTCTGAGTTCGAGGCCAGCCTGGTCTACAGACTGAGTTTCAGGACAGATAGGACTGTTCCATAGAGAAACCCTATCTCTAAAAAACAAAACAATAACTGACCTGTTGACCTGGGTCTTATTACAGTGAAATGCTTCCACCAAGTCGGAATCTTTGGGATAGTCAAGGTGGGAGCTTCCAGCATTTCCAAAAGTAGATAACCTAGAGTTGAAAGTAAGCAAATCACTCATTAATAGGTTTGATAATAAGCAATATTAGTACTCATGCTACCTTAAATGACATATTCAAAAACTGGCTATAGGGACTGGGGAGATGGTTCAGCAGGCAAGTACATTTGCAGTGCAAGCCTCAGGTTCAAATCCCAGAATTCACATAATGGCCAGATATGACTGTATGTCTATAATCCTATCACTAGGGGACGAAGACTGAAAGATTCTCAGAACCCAGTAGGCAGCTGCTTAGCCAAAATGAGGAGCTTGTGATCCAAGGCAATAAGGTGAGAGCAGCAGAGGAAAATCCCGATGCCCTTTTCTGGCCTTATATGAGCACATAAGGACACAGGCATCTGTATACTCATGTAAATTCACCACATACACATAGACCACACACAATGAGTGTGTGTATATTTATATATATGTGTATATGTATATTTATAAATACAAAAAATAACATGTACATAAAATATATGTAAAACAACAACAAAAAAAAACTTGGTTACTTGGGTGATACCACATAAAAGGCAGATGTTGGTCTGCAGCTGCCTGTATAGTTTAGATTGGTCTTATACCAAATCCTTCTGCTTCCACCTCCAAATGCTGAGACTATGGCATGGAACACCACACACAGCTAAAATACACCAACCAAGCACCATAATAAAGATTTCACAGGATGCTGTAGAAAGTATCTGTAACAAAATATTAAAATATTTTTACTGCTGGGTGGTAGTCGCACACACCTTTAATCCCAGCACTCAGAAAGCAGAGGCAGACAGATCTCTGTGAGTTCGAGGCCAGCCTGATCTACAAAGAGAGTCCCAGGACAGGCTCCAAAGATACACAGAGAAACCCTGTATCAAAAAAAAACAAACAAACATGTAAAAAAAAAATTTTCTACTTTTATTCGTGTGTGTCCCGGTCTGTGCATGTGAATCCAGGTGCTCTAAGAGATCATTTTGGAGCTGAAGTTACGGGCAGTTGTGAGACATGGTGCTCAGAATCAAACCTGGGCCCTCTGAAAGAGCAGTATATGCTCTTAATTGCTTGAACCATCTCTCTAGCCTAGAAACAGTTCTGAATAAATCTCAGAGTACATGCTATACTCTGTACAGCTGTATAATCACAGTTAATGTTCCTCATCCTTAAACCTACACACACACACACACACACACACACACACACACACAGGTAGATATAAATATTAATGTATCTCAGAGAACTGTGAGTAATGGAAGACCTCATTTAAACCACTGTAAGCGTGGGGCCTGTTCTTAGCTTTTCATGCTGAATCATTTACATGCAATTCTGCTGTGAAATTACACTTTACTCTGACAGCGTTTCTGTGTTAGACTGATCGTCCCTATTGGACTGCTGGCAAATGTACACAATCTGAGTTTAATGTCTAGAACGCCTGAGTATTTGCCATGGGAGTAACATGGTGACAAGCACAGCGATCAGACCTGGGAGATCTTCCCAAGTTCTATGTCTACTCTCCATGTTCCCAGTCAGTCTGTTTTCTAATACAGCTTCTCTCTCAATATCCTTCAGTTAGGCTCAATCTAAATGTCCAGTCTAGGCTCATTACCTGGGCACTATGTCCACACACCTAACCATTCCCCAGTGCCATAGGAACTTCAAATTTTAACATATCCAAAAAAAGAATTCACTACCATTTCCACACACCAAATGGTTTAGTGCTCTGGAAATGGAAGATGAGTTGTTTAGTTATTTCTGCTGCGAGCTGATCTGGGAAAGGAGCCACTGATGTTCGTTTTAAATAATTAATTGGAGTTGCCATTGCTTTCCATTTTGGTGAACTTTTTGACATAACATGAGCAAGTTTTATCTGGCCAATATCATGAGAAAGAGCATGCTGCAATTGTTCCTAAATAATAAACAAAATTCCCAAAACACATATTTTCTTATTTCATTTCTTCAAAGTTGTTAAGTTCTATAAAATTCTAGTTTTGAAAGAAATAATAAACATAGAAATTTTGGTGGCACAAATGTCAGAACAGTTTTAACACTGTATTCATGCTGAAAAATGCCTGGACCTATGAGGCTCACCTTGACCAATCCTCTAAGTACTCAAGTACTGTTTCCCAAGTACTTGTGAGTATTATCTCGGTACTTAAGGGCTTGCAATTTTGTTCTCTGCTGATTCGCACTTTTTCCTCTACCTTAATTTTAAGATGGTGTTTTTTTGTCTTAATTTGAAGATGGTGTCTTTAAGATGGATTTGTACATTAGATCAATAGCTACTAAGTTTTTTTTTTAAAAAAAAGCTAAACTATTAACAATATGTACTTCCTTTTGTATCCTGAACTAACCTAAAGGAAATATATATATATATATATATATGTACATATATATATATGTATATATATATACCATGTAATATAACTAGGCTGTTATAAATGTTTTCACTCAACTTTCCTCATGATGTAACCTCATCTATATCATGGAACACAACAATGAAAATACCAGTGGTTTAGACTGGAGAGATTGCTCAGTGGTTAAGAGCATTGCCTGCTCTTCCCAAGGTCCTGAGTTTAATTCCCAGCAACCACATGGTTGCTCATAACCATCTGTAATGAGGTCTGGTGCCCTCTTATGGCCTTTAGGCATACACGCAGAAAGAATATTGTATACATAATAAATAAATAAATATTTTTAAAAAAGAAAATAAAATACCAATGGTTTGCAGATTACAAGAATGGGCTTCTCATCACCAAAGCAACACTGCCCGACTATAAAACGTTTAGTAGATTCTTCTTATGTCTTAAATTTCCTATCTTGGAGTTGTAAAATTATAAAGTAATCAAATGCTTCTGAAAGTTCTGAGAATTTTAGGAGGTGTAGAAATTCCTGCAACTCAAGCAAATGTTGGATGTAGAGTTGGATCCACTGCCAGACCACATTAAGGATAATTGCACTCATGTACCTGAAATAGGGCTTGTCAGGAGATACGGTGATCTGTAGAACATCACTCGTCATGTCCAACTCAGAAAACGCTTCCCGGAGCCCCTCTGACTGCAGGATAATTTTATTTATAACATTGGTGCTACAGAAATCAAAATCCAGAGTCTCTTCAGGCTCCTGGGTGTTAATTTTGCAGACTGTCACCACTCCTCCTTCTTCTAGAAATAGCATCAAAGGGTGACCATAACCTTGGTAACACATCCGAAGTGCAGTTAAAGTCCCTGCAATGACAGAAGTCACATGGGGCTCAGCTCTGTGGCTCTGGGTTTAGCTTTCCCTCTAAACGACACACATACTGTCTCAAGAATAACTAATTCTGCTAAGCTTCTAGAATGCATGTCTCTTCTCAAAGGATCCCAGTTCCTGTAACTGCAAGGACACAAGAGCAAGTTTAGCTTGTTGAATGAATTTTCCACTTAAAATGGAAACATGCCTCAGAAAAACACCTGCTCATCTACAATGCCTCCTACTGAGATTATTTTAAATCAAATTGTTAGTAATAGAGGGTGACCATTGGTGATGTTATTTAACACCTTAAATCCCTACAGAGGAGGGATATAAAAACTTCTGGCTTCTTTCTCCTGGTTAGAGGGCCAGTGAGGGATTTGGGGAAAGCACATATTCTTAGGAAAAACCAGCGGGGGAACTGCATCAGAAAATGCATAGTTAAAAACATGTTTACTGTAGTATGTTAGCATGTGGATAATGGCTATAAGTGTGGGTGCATGAATTCCATCGCATGCCTCTGGATGTCACTGAACAATTTTTGGGAGTTGGTGCTCCTAAAGGACCTGGGAATCAAACCCAGGTTTTGTCAGGCTTGCTGGATAAGCACTTTTACTCACTAACCATCTCACTTGCTCAAAATGCATAGTTAGACTCAGCTACAGACTGTTCTTCAGATCCAACAATACCTAAACGTTTCCTAGCTTACCGTCAAGTTACTTTCCTATAAAATAAAATCATTCTCGGATTCTTCTGAGATTCTTGTAATCTTATGCCCAAGGCAACTAAGTTTTTTAATCTCTAAAAATAATTCCCTAAGCAAGTAAAAATATGCTTTGAAAAAACTATTTGAGGAAACAGACATAATTTATAAAAGTTTTATTTTAATGTTAAACACAGTCAACTGGGAGTCAGGAAAACTTACTTTTCTCTACCTGTAAGTAGATGTCAATTCTGAGTAAGTTAGAAAAAATATATAATTAAAACAAATTTCACAATGTTAAAGATATAATTCATGACTGTTTAAAGTCTTGATTTTAAACTTAGAATCTTAGAGCCTTGTGAGATGATTTTGTGAACCCTACAGGATCTAGACTCACCTAGGAAACAAACAATGATAAAATAATAATAAAGTTTACCTGGAGTAGGACTTGATCCAAAAATAGATAAACAGTCTAAAAGGATAGTTAAGTTAATTTGGAAAGTAACAGATTCTTCCTGAATGATAAATTCTTGAAACACTTCAGCCTGAGAAAAGTGAACATGAAAGTGGGGTTATCGTAAAGAATGAAAGTTCACATGCAATATTTCATTTTACACTTAAAAATTAACAATACTGTGCCAACTCCATGATAATAATTTCTCATTCCCCACTAAGATATGGCAAATTGTCAACCATTACCCACTAGAATACCACTCAATGGTTTAATCTTTAAAGGTATAACAGTTAGGTCCCATTTAGAAGCTCCAAAAGTGGCGGCGGGGGGGGGGGGGGATATGATGAAAATGTATGAGTTTAAAAGGGAGGCTGGAGAGATACGTTAGCAGTTAAGAACACCAGCTACTCTTCCAGAGGACCCAGCTTCGATTCCCAATACCCACATGGTGGCTCACAACCATCTGTAGCCATTTCCAGGGGATCCAACTCCCTCTTCTGGAAGGCACTCTGAAGGTACCAGGTACATACCTTTTGCTGACATTCATGCATGCAAAACACTCATACACAAAAATTTTTAAAAATTAATTAAAAAGTCACAAAAAAGAGACCACTCCCCCAACAAGCAATGGTCCTTCATCTTCATTTCTGGATATAAACCTATTACCTACTTCCCTTGCTCCTTCCTTGTGCTGATCAGTTTAGGCTAAAGTAACTTGAAAAGAGGGCAATTTAATAATGCATGAATGATAATAGTTTCTAATTACTTTTTTAGAAAATTAATTAGTTTCATGTGCATTGGTGTTCTGTGTGAGGATATCAGATCACCTGGAACTATAGTTACAGATGGTTGTGAGGTGCCACGTGGGTACTGGGAACTGAACCAGGGACCTCTGGAAGAGCGGCCAGAGCTCTTAATGCTGAGCCCCTCCAACTTCTTTTGAAGACAGAAACCATGTTTTATTTATTCCTCCATTTGTGAGGTCATACTATACACATGTTCAAAAATATGAATTGAATGTTGAGCTCCAATCTGAACCAGACAAAGGATAAGATTATAGCTATAATAGATTACAGTTAAGGGTGATGGTGCAGGGCTTTAGTCCCAGGACTTCAATGAAAAGTAGAGGCAGGTGGCTCTCCTAGCCCTGGAGTTCAGTGTGTTCTACAAAGCAAGTTCCAGGTAACCGGTTTATGTTAAAACCTGTCTCAGTTCAAAAAATAAAATAAAAATAAATGCTATTTCAGCCAGTAACATGAAAAACTAAACCGTGCAGGACAAGAATGACAATGTAAGGAGTAAACAAACATTCTGAGTTTTCATCAGGAAACTGCTGAAATAAAATCTGCTGCAGTTGCCACTTGTGTAAAATAGGATATAGGTGTCTATTTTTTGTGAGGACTTTTAAAATCGGTAAACGATGAGAAGAGTGCCTCATAGTTTAACCTTAATAAACTATCACTAGGAATCATTATCTGTGTGGCACACGATGGGAAAAGTATTTGTGGGGGAAAGAAAAAAAATCAAGTGATGACATTTTTATTCTCTAACTTGAGTTTTTTAGAAGTCCTTCAAAGTTCCTCAAAGTTCAATAACTAGGCGAATGCTATAACGGGCCTCCGCTCTCCCATACCTGAATAAAAGCATTGGCTTGCACACACTTTGCATTTTCCACGGTAACTTTGAGTCCATTTTTAGTAGCAAAACACGCGGCGTGTTCTTTGAAATGAATGGCTTTCAAGACGGTGGAGAGATTCCTAACGTTGTCGAGGCTGGCCACTAAGCAGTACTGCTCGTCCTCGTCCGGAACGCGCTGGGTTAGGAGAGGCATGGATGGTCCACCGCACAGGCGGTTCGGAGAGAGGGATGCCGCTCTTCCAAACTTCCGAAAACCTGAGAGACGGACAACAGACCTGGCATCAGTGTTGATGGGGCTGGCGACCTCAATCCGAAATCGGCTGTCGAGAGAGAGCGCCCCACTTCTTGCCACTGCACGGTCTTGAACTTCTGGGAAAATTCTGTATCTCAAAACAACGGTTTCCTCGCCTTCCAGGGGAAAAGAAGCGATTCACAGGGCAGCTGGAACTGGCGCGGGTTCCACGGAATAAAAAGGCTACGCAGCCCGCTTAAGGTCTATTCGGCAGCTCCCAGCGCCGTCAACCCGGCCGGCCGTGGCCCGGACAGTCACCCCGCTCACCGGCCCGCTCGCCGCACAAGGGGCGTCCCGGGCACAGGCCCCTGCCTCCGAGGTGACGTCTGACGCCTCAAGGCCCTCTCCAGCCCCGTCCCAGGAAGAACAGACACCCTGAGCCCCGAAGTGAGCGAGCCCGTCACACAGCTCCCGCCACTCTTCCGTCCCGCCGCCCCGCGGGCCACCGTCACCACCGAGCCGCCGCCGGCCTAGATAGTCTACCTCGAGACCGGAAGAAGGCTCCTTCAGGCTGGATGACTAACCCAGAACCTAGCGTGTGCTACCATAGAGACCGGAAGGAGGCGCGAGCGGCAGAACCGGAAGTACGGCCGGCCACTAACGCGGCGAGGCAAGATGGCGGCGACCAAGAGGAAGCGGCGTGGAGACTTGGAGGTTCAGGCAAAGAAACCGAAAAGGAGTCGGAAAGATACAGGGAAGCCAGCTAAGCAGGCAGCTGTGACAAATGAGGTGGAAGAGGAAGATAGAGATCGCATCCCAGGTCCCGTTTGCAAGGTAAAAGGCCCAGCTCCGGGGCTGTGCATGTGGCGTAAGCTTCGTGACCCGCTTACTGGTTACCAACGTGACTGCAGCCAAAATCCCCTTGACTGGACTGGACAATGTGTATGTTAAAGTTTTGTGCAGGTGGCCTCCTTGAGTCAGGCGTCCGTAGAGCCCGTAGCCAGGGAGGCCATTTAACGGGGCTTTTACTTCTAATACTGTATTTTCACTCGTCTCCCCACACCCCAGCCTCCTCGGGGTAGTGTTTTTCCGTGGATATTGTTGACGTCGTTGTTTTACTTTTCTTTTTTTCCTCATGGGTGTATCTACTTACTCCATTCCTTCCATTCCCTGCCATGTTGACCGGTATCAGACAGGGATACCAAAGTTTCTTTGCCAAACCTTTAAAGTTATGTCTTGTGACCCTAACTTCTTTGGTTGGATCTTAGGGATAATAAAATACCAGACCAGACCTTGAGTTTTATCTGTGTTCAGCAGTTCACCCTCTGCCAAGGTGAGCTTCCCTGGCCTTGGCATCTCAGAGATGATGGAGAAAATTTCTTCCAGAAATACTGACGTTTCAAAGGAAAGAGGGCGTCATAGAAAGTTACATGATTATTCAAAAGGCGAGCAGAATTAATTTTCACTCAGCTGAAAACCCGTTAAGGAAGATGTGTTAATGGAGAAAAAGATCTTGCCTTAGACCTGTTAACATCTGTCCTCTGTGCTTAGTGTAGTACTGTGGCTTTTAGGTAAAAGGGAAATGTGACAGGTGAGTGTAAATTATAGCCCAGTTTTAATTAACAGTTAAATCATGTCCTCTTGTATGAAAGGATGAGAGATACTTTTGAGAAAAATGAGCTGGTCTTTTAGGTTTTCGATACATGTTAGTGCCCCCCCCCCTCCTTTGGGAGCGGACAGAACCATGTGGGAATCGTTAGTCAGAGTCGCTCTATGATACATTCATTGAATTCATGAGATAAAGACTTACTTTTAGGATAGTGGGGAAACATGAGGGACTTAACCTCTGAGTTGGTTTTCAGAGAAAGGGTTTAATTTTGATACGGGGTGGGGGGGAGACAGAATAAAAAAAGAATTTATCAAAGGCATTAAAGTTGGGAGACACAGAAAATCTGAAAATTAGAACCAGGTTAGATGAGCAGTTTTCAGGGCTAATGTTGGGCAGTGATGTCGTAGATAAAATATATTTTAGAATCCAATAATAGAGGGTATATGCCATTTTGAACTTTGAAAAACCCCGGGAGGTAAAGTCATGACTTGGCTTTTAAATTTTGGTAGTTAGACAGCTGCCAGAGTGCTTCTGTCTGGGGACGCCAGGCGTTCCAGAGCTTTGCATCTCACAGTCAGTTGTAAGGGTTTAAGTAAGGACACTGCGCAAGTGTTCCCAACTGTGTAGAGGCACTGTCAGTATTTAGTAGTGCCTGTGATGTCGATGTAAGAAAATAAGGGCAAGTAGGCTATGCAGAGTCAGAGAAACTGAAATGGTGGTAGCAGAAAGTAGGAAAGGAGAGGAAAAGAGAGGACAGGAAGGAAATTTGCCAGATATAAGGATGGCCAAGTTTAGTCATACACTTGAGTTTAAGACTTTACGTTAATACGTGTATTATTAGGGCTAGAAAGACTTTTTCTCTTTCTGTGCATAGTTAAACTGGGAATGAGCATAGGGGACTGTAAATGCAGAGAATAAAATTTTTAAAAAAGAAAAAGTGCTAAGAAGGCATTGTTAGGGTAGTGAGGGGTGGTTGGAAAGTGTCTTTGTTTTAGACCCTTCACTATGTTTGCAAGATAGCTATAAATCCTAGGTTCAAGTGGTTCTCCTGCTTCAGCCTCACTAGCTGGGGCTGATGGAGGTGTACCACCATGCCTGGTTCTAGTAACTCTCGTTAAAACACACTAGATAAGTTCAGCACAAGTATTAAAGTTTTCTTTTCTTTAGGGCAAATGGAAAAATAAGGAGCGGATCCTCATCTTTTCTTCCAGAGGAATAAATTTCAGAACAAGACACTTAATGCAAGACTTGAGAATGTTGATGCCTCATGCTAAAGCAGGTACTTTAATATCGTGTACTTTGAGCTCGTTTGCACACATTTGCAGAACGATACCATTACATATTTCCTTGTTTGCTCAGCCTTGTCAGGTAAAGAACCACAGTACAAGGCTTGGGGTATAGCTCAGTCAGTGAAGTTTAATCCCCAGAACTGCGTGGACCTGTGTCACGATAGTAACTCCAGCTCTAGAAGATGGAGGCAGGCGAACATCTAGGACTTGCGAGCAAGCCAGCCTAGCCTAGTTGGCAAGCTCTAGGACCCTGTCTCAAAAAACAAGGTTAGCGCCCCTGAAGAAAAGCACCTGAGGTTGACCTCTGACTGGATGGACAGAGACATACACACATACATTTCTAAAGTTCGTTTTTTCAAGTACCATATTTTTTAAAGAAATTTAACATTTTGTAATAAATTATTGGCAAAATTCACATCTTTTTTTACTTTCTTAAACATGTATCTATTAATATAGAAACATTTTCTAAAAGTCCAAGGATTCATTACAGTGGCTTCCAAGATCAGAAGGTAGGTGGGTAAGGTACTCAGTAAGGACTGGCATATATTGCTTTTTGAATTTTAAAAAATTTTACTTTTTTTAAATTTTTTTTTGAGGCAGGGTCTCACTAGCCTTGGCTAGCCTGGAGGCCAGTATGTAGACCAGTCCGACCTGGAACTCATAAAGATCCGCCTGCATCAGCCCAGTGTTGGAACTAAAGTGTGTGCCACCACGCATGACTTAGCAGTGTTCTGTTGTAGCGGCCAGTCCGTCTGCACTGCTGTGGGCGGCTGTGTCCTGAGATGCTTCTGTGTGGTGTTTACAGAACGGTCGCTTCTCAGGCTGACATTGGTTGTGCTGCCTTCCACCCCGAAACTAATTCAAAATTTTCATTGATGTGTTTCATTCCTTTGATTATCCAAAGCCAATTTTAAAATTGGTTTATTTGATTCGAAATTATATTTTCATTAGTTAAAATTGTAAATATTGGCCAGGTGTGGTGACACAGATCTGTAGTCCCAGCTTTTAGGAGGCAGAATCACCTGATCTCTTGAGTTCAAGGCCAGCTTGGTCTGCATAGCTTGTCTCTTTAGTTTCAGGAGCTTGAGCAGAGTGGTGCTTACCTGTCATTTCAGTGATAGGAAGATGGAGGCAGGAGGATCAGGAATTGAGGGTCATTCTGAATTACATGGGCTATTTGAGGCCAGCCTGGACTACATGAGACCCTATCTTAAAAAATATAAATAAATAAAAGAGTAGTTTCAGTTTTGAGCCAGGCCAGGCGACACAGACCTACAATTCCAGCTACTTGGAATCTACTTGGAATTGGAAATTGAAAGTTGAAGGCCCGCTTGAGCAAATTGGTAAGACTCTGTCTGAAATGAAAGTAAGAGGGCTGGATAAAGTAAAAAGTTAAAACCAAAGCAAAACTATAGCTCAGTGGTACAGTGCTTGCCTGGCTTGTGCCTCCCCCTGGCATCTATTCCCCAGAACAGTGGCAAGTATACACTGCATAATTGGCCCACTGCTTGCTTAGTTTATATTTACAAAGAATGGAGAGGTTGAATGGTTTTGGGTCTAATCAGTCTTGAAAATCTTTATTGTAAAAATAATTATCTAGATAGGATATGTAGTCAAAGTAAAGTAGTCTTCAAATCCATAATTTAATTGCTTTCTCTTTCTTTTTATAGATACTAAAATGGACCGTAAAGATAAATTATTTGTGATAAATGAGGTAATTTTATAGTTAATTGCAAATATTTTATCAACAAAAAGATAACTCATTTAACAAAGGTTATTTAATGACTTGTAAAATCATTTTGTGAATAATTGAAATTTTATTAATTTCACTAATCTTCAAGTTATTTTTATTACATGATAGCATATTTGAAAATTAGGATAGATACATGTAATAATTATCACCATATATAAAGTTTCAAAAATATGGCTATTTATAGAAAACTTATATTGTATAAAAGTACTTTATCAATATTAAATATGCAGGGAAAATTTGTCTTCCAGTATTACAGACTAATAACAGTTAGCATTTTAAAGAATTGTTGAAGGTGCTAATATTGTATTTCAAAGTGAAATTTTGTAAACAGTTTTAAGATAATTCTTTGGCACAAAAGTTGCTGTAACATGACATTACTGTGCAAGCTGTGGCAGCTTTGTTGACCAGAAGTAGAACAATCCCTTTTGTTGGGAGCTTTCCTTCCGGTGCGGGAGACGGGACACACACGATCTACAACAGCAGGAGAAAGTGCGAGAAAGAAAGTGGTGTGTGTATTTTTCATTGCTGAGCTAGACTAGGAAAGCCTTTCTGAAGGGGAGTTGTCAACTTACTATTCCAGGCTTAAAAAGGAAATTGGCAGAAGAACATTCCGGTAGAGGAGGCAAATACAAACTCAGAAAGTATTTTAAAAAATAAAACCAGCCACAAAAGATAGATAACAAAAATTTAAAAAAAGAGAAAGAAAGAAAGAAAGAAGCCATACTTAAATTTCTTAAATTGGCAGGTTTCACATCTTGGGTAGCTTGAGATTACTAATTGCAGAAGTTTATTGTTAGGATGCTTTTGTGATTTAAAATGGGTGTGGTTGGGAAGTAGGCGGATCTATCTCTTGAGTTCAAGGCCA